TTTTCTCTCTCCCTCTCCCTCTGCCCCTCCTCCCTCTCTCTCTAATAAATAAATGATTGTTTTAAAAAAAGAGAGACAACAGGCCCGAAACAGAGTCGCTTGTGCTGAGCCCCACATCAGCAAACCAAGAGGTCATACTCAGCCTAAGTTCCAGACCACTAAGAATGTACTTATGTAACCTTTAATCAGTCATCCTGGAATTACCTGGTCAGCAGGAGAGCAAGCCACAGAGAGACCCTTTCTGTTCCCTTGGGAGGGGCAGCCTAGCCTGAAACAATGTGTTCTTTGCTAATAATTTCCTTTAAACATTCTCCTTTTGCCTTTAAAAGCCTTTCCCTTTCTACAGCTCCGGAAGCTCCTTCGTACTCGCCAAATAGGGCAATGCCTAATGCCTGATTCATGAATCCCTGAATAAAGCCCATTTGATCTTTAAATTTACCCAGTTGAATTTTTCTTGTTTAACAGATTGAATGTCACCTTCCCGGCAAGGCTGACCTTAACCACAATAATATAGTTCCTCTGGGTGCTCCTCACTGCCTTCATCCCACACCTGCTGGCTCTCACCTCCTCCCAGTATTCCATTCAAGCTGCTTCTTTGTTGTGTGTGTAGACTCTGCTTCCCTGAACTCTGGCCCGAGAGCAAAGATTTCACCTGTCCCTTCACTGACTCACCCAGGTCTGGAGACCAACAAATAGTACATAAATATAGTTGAACAAATGAGTCCATTAATGACTATATAATTCATAGCACAAGTAGGGAGCCACTAAAAGCCTCACACGTGTGTGCTCTGCGGTCGACACTAGGCTTCAGAACCATCCCTCAGGTGGCCAAGCACCAGGATCTTATAGGATCTCCACGGAGTCTCAGCCTCCTGCAGATACACCCAGCCCTTAAGATACGGACACTTTTTGAAACTAGAAATAAAAGAAGGATCTATCGCAATGAGAGCCTCCAAGGCTTGACTCTTTCAGAAAAGGAAAATACTTCTTCACCTCCTTCAAAGGAGTAAAACAAAGACTTCTGAGAAACCGTGCCACGGTATCCCAGGGAGGGAACGAGTAAAAGTGAATCCATGAGTCAGGATCATAGCAGGACACTCAGCTCAGACAGTTCAAGGCAGGAATGTTTCGACCCAGTGGGCTGAATGTCCTGCTATGATCCTGGGTCTGTATATATATACTATACGTTATATATTCCTATATTCTATATATAGACAATAGAATATTACTCAGCCGTAAAAAAAGGATGAGATCTTGCCATTTGCACAACAAAATAAGTCAGACAGAGAACGACAAATACCACGTGATTTTGCTTATACGCGGCATCTAAAAAAACCAAAACAAACAAACAACACTAACAAGAAAAAAAAAAAAAAACAGAAACAGATTTGTAACTACAGAGAACAAACCGGCAGTTGCCAGAGGGGAGAACGGAGGGGGATGGGCAAAATAGGTGATGGGGATAGAGACGGACACACTTCCAGTTATAAACTAAGTAAGTCAGGGAGACGAAACACACAGCAGAGTGCCGAATACTGTAACAGTAGATGGGGACAGACGGGGACAGACGGTGGTGACACAGAACGTGGGGAGCACTGAGTGACGTGCAGAGCTGCTAAGTCTCCATACTGTACTTCAGCTACACTTCAATAACAGAAAGAGAAAAAGTAAGCCCGTGATACCGGAATCCTGCCAGGGCACTCGGCTCACTCCAGCCTGAGGCCTGGATGGGTCTCAGTCACAAGAACTTACCGTCAAGGGGTGAAGAGGCACATCTTCGAGTCCCTCCCCTCCCCCAAAGCCCGTTAGCCGAGCACCACGGTCAGCACGAAAGGAAAGCGGACCACGCGGGCCACCTCCGACTCGCCATGAAGCTGTTTGCAGGAATGTGTGCTGTTCTGTCCTGCCCATCACCCCCTCCTGGGAGCCAGCCTGCGTGGGAGGGGGGCGAGGCGACCCCCAGCCTCCCTTGCGCACCAGACCAGACGGATTCTGCCTCTCCTACCCTCACGCCCGTGGCGCCCCTTCCAGGGTGAAGATCAATAGCATGCTCTGGAGCTAGACAGAGGCTTTCAGAGTGCCATCTTCCCGAGATTCAACGGAAAAGAATGCATCATAAAAAGCCAATTTCTCCGAGAATCTGGAAATGGGTCATTCATCCCCGCAACGTCCCGGCACGTGGGCTGCTATGAAGTTTTGCGCCTGACCCTTTGCCAGAAAAAGCCCTTTTCTCGAATTCTGCTCTTGGTGTTACTGCTGCCAAGAAAAATAATTTAGGAGCAGAAGAGCCGAGGCCGAAAAGGTTCAAAGCCGAAAACTATCGTCGCTTTGAAAGGAAAGAAATGCTTTCATTTTACAAAGAAGGAGGTGAAGGGGCGTACCGATGATCCGCATAGTGAGGCGGTCCCTGGGTTAAAATGACACCCTGGTCTCTGTCTTTCTGACCCTCTGTTCCATCCACCACGCTCTGACACCGCAAGAGGGGCACAATCAGGCGGGGGGCAACCTGTGCTCAGGGCACTGTGGGAAAGTTGTCCCTGTGACACCACCTTTTGCTTCATGAAAACGCACTGCTGAGCTACCGTGTGGAAGGCATGTGCCCAGGCAGGGAGGAGGTAAGACATCAAGACACCTTGTCAGGAAAGCGTGACCCCGGTCCCCTGGCTTCTGCAGAGCAGGTGTCCCACTGAAGGACGAGTGTCTGCTGCCTGCTCTCATAACCTCTGATGGCCTCTGATGACCTCCCCTTCGGCCCTTTCCTCCTGTGCTCCCCAGCCCTGCATCCTGGGGCCTCCAGTCCGGGCCTGGGACAAGATGCTTGAGGAACAGCATTCCTCAGGGCTGAGCGCACCCGCCTCAGCCACGTGGCTGTCAGGCCGCTGACCACCCGACTGCACCCGGGGGTCCACATCCCAGTCGGGCACACCCTGCACTCCACTTTGCGGGCCCCGCCTGGCCTGTCCCCCCTCCTCTTCCTTCAGGTGCTGTGGTCCAGCTGCTCTAGCCCGTAACTGCCCGTCCCTTCTCTCCTGCAAGGACATCACCAGCCAGGTCACCAACGAGCTCCTATGTGTTTGCAGACTGCCCCCCGCGTCTCCAAGCCACTGTCCCCGGCCCTCCTCCCCGCAAGTAGGCCAACTTTTTAAGATCTGCACTGAAGAGGAAGTGTTTCCCTAGCTCACATGGGTGACATCTGGAGTCGGACTCGCAAAACCCCCGTGAATACTGTTCAAACTCGTTCCGAAGGGTCTTTAAAGCTACGGATGCCTGCTGTCAAATTTAAAGTTCCGCATGACCCCATATCTCAACCATTATTCCTGTGCCTGGATGGCCCGGGCGTAGTAAGTCAACCGTGAGCAGTTACACAGGGGAATGGACTTCCTTAAAGGCTCTCTGGAGCGACTACAGAGAAGATCCAAGACATTCTCAGCGCAGCGATCCAAACGCAGAGCGCGTCTCGCTATAAAGTGGGCGCGCAGGGGCATGGCTGTGCGATGCCTACTCACAGGTCCCTGGTGTGGCATGGGTATGGGATGGCCTGAGTCTGCGCGGCCAGCTCCCCGGCCTCCTGCCCGGTCTGCACCGAGATGATGGCTCTTTCGATCATGTCTTGCAAAGGGACAAAGATGTAGTTGTACTTGAACCCTTCGGCCGGCAGGCTCTGAGGATGAAACTTCCAGGAAGGGTTTTTCACCAAGTCCGTCCTCATGCTGTATAAGACGCTGGTCCGGATGGTGTAGGTGACGTGGGGAGGCAGCTGCCGAGACGGGGCCGCCCGGTTCCTGCCGGCCGGGGAAGTGTTGAATATGACACCTGCCGGCAGAAAAGGGAAGACAGGGGTCATCGCACCCTGAGGGCGGCTCACCCTGAGCCAGCACGGGTCCAGGGAAGTTGGACGGCCGTGAGACTCAGCCCAGCCCCCCTCTGGGGAAGTGGCAAGGCAGCGCGGATCCTTAGGGTTACACGGGGCAGCTACTGGTATATAAACCCATACTGTGTGTCATCAATTATTTACAACAAAATAATCTGCACCAAGAAATCTGTAACAAAATGATTTCTTTTGCGTTTTTCTAGGACTCGGAAAATGACCCCAGGCTGCTCAAACAGTCAGGCTTTCCTTTTCTGGGATTACATGCATCCGTGAGAATGAGGCAGGGGAGGTGTGCGGAGGCTTGTGGTCGTGGAGGGAGGAGGTCAGGGGACGGAAGGGACAGCACAGGGAGGGTGGTCAAGGGCATGCTGACAGACGGTCGCTCTTCACCTGCGCTGAGCAAGGCGGGGCCCAGAGTTGTCACATCATACGGATGTACGTGGGTCAGCTAGATTTCAGCTTCCAACAAGGAACTGGTGTCTTTGGGATTATCGATCAGTCGTTTTTGTTTTGTCTTTTTTTTAACTTAAATTTGATTAGCCAACATATAGTACATCATTAATTTTTGATGTTCAATGATTCATTCGTTCCATATAACGATCATTCAAAATGTGAACACAGGGACTCAGTTCTGGCACATGAATTCTCTGAATTTCATACACAATGCCTGTTGGGGGTAAACAGGACACTCCCGAGGTTCACATGGGCAAGTCCTAACCCCCAGCAGATCAGAATGTGAGCTCACTTGGAGACAGTGTCCTCACAGAGGTAGTCAATGGAGAAGGAGGTCCTTAGGGCGAGCTCTCGTCCAGTAGGACTGCTGTCCTCAAACAGGGGAAACGTGGACCCAACATGCACATAGCAAACACCATAAGAGACCCAGGAGAAGGCAGCCGTCGACACGCCGAGGGGAGGCTGGAGCGCGTCCCCCTCACGGCCTCAGAAAGAGCCCACACTGTTGACACCTGGGTCCCAGACGTCTGGCCAGAACCAAGAGAAAACAGATTTCTGTCATCAAAGCCACATGGTCTGTGGTCCTGTGTCATGGCAGCCCTCAACAAACTCATACACACCCAAATAAAAAAAAATAATGCGATATTCATTCAAGACACGAGAACGCATCACGTGTATCCTGAACAAACAGGCGTGAATGAAGGAAGTCGAACTGGCTGTTGTCTCCCCCCTCCCCTCCCCCCAGGATGTCAAGATACTATGATAAAGTCAGAGTGATGACGGAATCAGAGCAAAACTGTAATCGGGAAAGATATAATTTTATCATGTGAGATTTAGCGGTGAAACGACACCATAAACTAGTAAAAACAGATGCCGCGAATGGCCTGGAGCCCAGGATGGGAGACACGGACAGCCACAGCTCACCAACGCAAGGTGAGCCTTTCTGCTTGGTCTCAGTCTATCTGGAAAGGACGTCTTTTCTTTCGGAGCCACTGGCACACAGGTTTGGGGAGAAAGACGCAAGACGGCAAGCCCGCTGGAGCCCATGCCTACAGGAGCGTATGTTCTCAGGGCATACTTACTGGCCAAAAAGCTGTTCTGCCGCATGAGCTCACGGGCTTTCGACTCCAGGCTGGCGACAGAATCCAGTGCCTGGAAACGGTTCAGCAACACGCAGGAGGAGAGGTTGACCAAGATACCGCCGAGGAAGCGGACGCGTCCGGCGCCCCCATGAGCAAACATCTTGTCCAGCTTCCCTCCTGAGGGCAGAAAACGGGACAGGACGTTACAACTTGATCTCAGCCCAGGGAGAAAAAAAATCCCTTCGTGAGTCACACTTTGTTCATAGGCAAAATGTGCTACCTATTGGCTGAGTATCAACTCTGCCTTTTGAGTCTTGGTTTTGGTTTGGGGTTTTTCTGTTTTGTTTTTTGTTGTTGTTGTTTTGTTTTTTTTAAGTAGCCCCAAGGTGGGGCTCGAATTCATGACCCCGAGATCAAGAGTCCCAAGCTCTACCGACTGAGTCAGCCGGGGACCCCAACTCTGCTCTTTGAATGCAGTCCCGTGATGCTGATCCTTCCATGGGAATGAAAAGCCGTGGAAGCACAGACGGTGAGCCTGCGGCCCAGGGATGCTGGGCGGCAGGCGACGCACAGAAGAATCCCCAGGTGAAAGCCTCCGAGCAGCACGGAAGGCCTCTCACACAGAACCCAGCAAAAAAAACACATTAGTGTTCCAACCTGGCGCCAAGGAATTCCAGAAAACATGCCTTCACCATCACAGCAGGCATTTTGTGAAAGCCGCTCACTTGGTCACATTAACTTTGCAGAAACAGTGATCTGGGATCAAGGAGTATTGCCACTGAGGAAATCCGAAGCTGGTGCACTCTGCCCAGGTTTGAGCATTTGAAATGGAAGTAGAGCCGGGGAGTAAAGCGGGCACATTCGTCAGGGCAGAACACGGGGGAGGACTTGGTACATGAGCTCTGGCTTCAGGGACGAGCTGGACCACAGGTCAGAGAGATGTGGGAAAACCAAACAACGCAGAGTAGGGTGGTGTGGGAAGAACACGAGAACCTAGCCAGGGAGGGAAGCGATTACAGACGGGCTCAGCATGCTCAGGATGATAGGGAGATGCCATCAGACCCGCCAGGCTCGCTGATGTCATGGCACCACCGTGGGCTGGGGCAATGTGCTTGTGTCCACTAGGGTGGGCCACCCTGGCCCCCCACCCCAGCCTCGCTCCTTAGGAGACCCCCAGAGACTAGATTGCTTGGGACTTCATAAAGAACAGAAAGACTCAACCAAGAAGGGATGAATGCACATGGAAACATACTGACATGTTTTTACACACCTATGACACACACAAAAACACACAGCGAATCACAAAACTGCATAGACATAGGACAGTAAAGGGGCAGCTCTTAAACGCCCTAGTGGCCCTTCCCTCAACCACAGGACCCACTTCCACAGGGACAATGCCTGAGCAAATGGACACCGGCTTCCGGCCACATCATCCTCTCCAAAAGTATCCCTCAAAGGATGGGCTAAAATGAGCCCCCACCCAACCCCAAATCTATAAGACTGAACAGAACCAGCCACTGGGAAACATCAAGAAATGGAAGCTTGATGAGAATCTTCTGGGAAAGAGCATCCGTTGTATATGATTTTCAGGCTTTACAACGGAAGTCTATCGCATGCTTTTCAGCATGGGTTGAGTGGTCCAAAGGAGTGAAGTCTATTCACTATGCAGCAAACCCTACTGGTTATTCGGGGGAACTGCGTGATGCCACGGCGCCCGGGGAGCCTCCGTGGGCGTTCAGCCATCTGCTGCATTGAGGGTAAGCCCACAGCCCGTGGGACGAGGGCTGCTTCTCGCCTCCCTCTCTTGCTGGTCTGCCTACTCCTCTCTCTCCTCCTGGCTTCCTACTTTCCAGATCAAGCCTGGGCTGTGCCTGCTCAGCATCGATCTGTCTCTGAAAGGCCAGAGATGAATGAGGAACCACGTCACGGTCTGTCCCTGTCATCATGAGGCACATAGAAAAACCCATTAACGTGGCCAGGCCTCCACTCTTTCCGTGGTGAGGAGAACTGTTTCATCTACCCCATCCAGATGGCTGAAATAGTAAGACTCCGAACAACAGGGAGAAGTTGGCGTGAGCATGATCCCCCAGCTACCCGAGCAGCTCCTCGACCTCCATCACTCACTGCTTCTCAAAGCGGGGCCTGTTACTCTGCCATTTCTGGATCCCAGGCCGAGACACCGAGCCTGCTTCCACGGGGCCTGGCCCCTCTCCACTGGACCAGAGGCCACGGGGGTTTGGTTTAAGGAGAGTCTCTCGGATCAGACCACTTCTGCGGTGGAGACGGAGACACAGCAAGCCTACTCTGGGCTGCAGTGTATGGGGCCTCGCGGTCACGGGTCAGACGGGGGGGTACCCACCCCCTACTCCCTGGGGGCAGCTGTGTCTGTTTAGCCCAGACACCCTACATTTCTTCCTTATGGCACAGGGATGATGATAATCTGCTCCGTGGTATTTTTCTAAAGGTTACAGAAAATAATGCCAGCAAGACTTCCGGCACTCATGGTGTCCGGGGCATGCTGAGCACTCAATCAGTGTGTCCTAATACTGTGGTTATTAATATATTAGAGAAAATCGATCTCCAGTAGAGGCACAGACAGAATGTGCTGCCCTATCCCATCAGATATCGGCTTATCAGATATTGGCTCAGATGACACCACAGGATCGGAGCGGTGCTCTGCCTGGTGGGCAGACTTCCAGATCGCCAACCACCACCTCCACCCCAACCGAGATAAAGAGCTCAGCACCCGGTTTATCTGCCGTAGAGACACAGATACCAGGCTCTGCACAGCTGACTTGGTCCGGCTGATGCAGGCAGAGCTGAGGCCAGAAATTCTGCATTTTTCCTCATCCACTCACCCTGGTGACTCCGATCAGAGTCACCCTGGTGACAGCTCAGCCGAGCAGAGCCATGTAGCGCTTCTCAGGCGTTCCCACCCACGGACTCCTAGCACAGGACGATGGAGGGCGGCCGAGGGATGTATGCAGGGAGAAGACAGGATCCCAGAAAAGCCCGTACGGGAAGAAAATTTTCTGAAATGAATGTTTGTTTGTTTTTTTTTCAGGAAAATATTAATATTCTAGCCTCTTCCTTTTGTTTTCATATAAAATATGTCTCAGGCTCCCTGCTCGGCGGGGAGCCTGCTTCTCCCTCTGACCCTCCCCCCTCTCATGTACTCGCTCTCTCTCTCGTTCTCTCTCTCAAATAAATAAATAAAATCTTTCATATAAAATATGTCTCATTTTCCTGCAAATGTTGAAGCAAAAGTGATGCTTTCGGGTGATGCACCAAGTTTACTCTGTGACGTCATGGGCCCTGGCACGCCGCACAAGAAGGATCCACGCACCGCGCTCTGGAGACGTCTTTTACGCCGTGAAATGTCACTGTAAAGGTGGGGGAGCATCTATGAAGGCACTTCGTGGGGATTCATACTGTTGTTCTCTAAGCACGGTGGGCAGGAGGCTGAGCTCAGAGCTTCCTGTGTGCAGTGACAGACCCCGGGAGCCATCAAAAGCCAGACTCATGAGACACGCAGGCGGGGGTAGCCAGCTTGGGGCACAGGAGGAGTGACACTGTCCCCGCATGGTAAGTGCCACAGGGGAGCCCGGGAATGGTGGCGGAGAAGTCAGCAGGACACGGCTTTGCCCCTGGAGCAACTCTACGTGATTCATGTTTTGCGTTGGAAAGTGTTTTTTGTTTTTTTTTTTAAGATTTTACGTATTTACTTGAGAGAGAGAGAGCACATGAAGCAGTCGGGGAGGCAAAGGGAGAGGACAAGCAAACCTGGGAGTCCGACGCAGGGCTCCATCCCACGGCTCTGAGGTCATGACCTGAGCCAAAATCAAGAGTCAGACACTTAACCAACTGAGCCACCCAGGCGCCCCTTGCATTGGAAAGTGATTTTGATCTGCAAAGTTTCATCGTCCTCGTCTGCAGTGGGAGGAAAACCATGTCGCCTACGGAGTTGTTCTAAGAATTAAAGTCTGTTCAGCACCCAGAGTACAGAAGTGCTTACACCGACAGCAGGAATTGCTGGAAGAGAGAGCCAGGCCTAACCAGTGGTCTTCATTAATTCCTCAGGATGAAAGTAGGCAGAACAACCAGAAAGCAGGAGACCAAAGCACGCATTGCGAGGGGCTTCGGGTGTTTCTGCTTTTTGTTCTCTTGTGTTTGATGGATACCTGCAGAGTATGACATTTTACGGGGGGAGCAAACTGAGGACGTGTTTATATTGCTGAGCATACATCATTTAGAATATGTGCTCTAAAGCTCACCCACGGGGGCCTAATTCAGAGCCAAGGCTAAAGGCAGCTCCCGGCCCTTCCCCACCAGAGAGCGTGTTTGGGAAACCGGGAGTCCTGCTCCTGCCCAGGCAGGGGAGCAGGGACATGGCCCCACCTGCTGTGGACACTGTCTTCTGGCCCCATGGGGCCAGAGGGTAAGTGACCAGAGCCAGGTGGCCCATTGTCACCCAAGCCGGCAAGACAGAGCCGGCGGTTTGCAGAATGAAGCCAATGGCCTCGCTCAGTCAGGGACCCTGGGGTGAGTGCGGGTTGCCTCGAGTTAAGACAAACAAGGGGCGCCTGGGGGGGCTCAGTGGGTTCAGCGTCTGCCTTCGGCTCCGGTAGTGATCCCAGGGTCCTGGGATCGAGCCCCGCATTGGGCTCCCTGCTCACAGGGGAGTCTGCTTCTCCCTCTGCCTCTGCCCCTTCCCCTGCTCGTGCTTTCACTCTCTCTCAAATAAATGTATTAAAAAAGAAAAAAATCTAAAAAGACAAAGAGTTTTAGCAGCTTTAGAGCTGCTTCTCCCACTGCACCCAAGCCAAGAATCGAATTTGAAGACCTGCCCATGGCTGAACACGGCCTCCAGGCTGTCTCACCAGGGACCCTAACCAGAGTGCACGGGAAGCCCACTCCATAGCCCTGCATATGGCTGAGCAGAGACCACAGCCCACAGCTTCTCCCATCTGCAGAGCAGGGGATTCAGTGCACACTCTGGCCCGATTCGGGTCCCCACACCATGAGCTGTGCAGGCTCTGATCCCATCCTCATGGCCTGCCAGGCAGGGAAGCTGATTCACAGCCCCGTCTACTGTGGAATGTAATACGCAGTCCCGACCACCCAGGAAGCTGAGCCAGAGAATCAGACAATGCGGAGCCCTCTCTACAGCTTCGCTTCGGCAGGGAACCGAACCAGCAAACCCCTGTACCTGACCCCAGAGACGAAATGTTGTCTCACCTGAAAACAGAACATAATAACAGGACCCACCTGCCCACGGACATTACCAGCAGACACACCCAGAAACCCCAAACTAAGCCAATGGAAGAAAATATAAATATCTAACATGTTAGCAATAAAAAATAAAATACAGCCTCAAACTATATAAACCCTACATTGACAGAACATAAGGAGAAATAGAGAAGTCCACAACCCCAATGGGAAATTACAACACACACCTGTTAATAACTGAAAGAATGAGCATTAAAAAAAATCAGTAAGGGGGAGCCTGGGTGGCTCAGTCTTAAGCATCTGCCTTTGGCTCAGGTCATGATCTCAGGGTCCTGGGATCGAGTGCAGCATCAGGCTCCCTGCTCTGTGGGGAGTCTGCTTCTCCCTTTGCTTGCTGCTCCCCCTGCTTGTTCTCTCTCTCCCTCTCTCTCTCTCTGACAAACAAATAAATAAAATCTTAAAAATAAATAATAAATGGAAAATCACGATATTTAGAAAGTAAGCTATAAACTTTCAAACAACCCAAGGATCAAAAACAGCTACACTTCACTGAATGCTAATGAAAATAGAACATATCAAAACATGTGAGAGGCAGCGAGGTGATGTCCAGAGGGAAGCATGTGATCATAAGCATGTATATGTACATACAAGAAAAGAAAAAGAAGGTGGAAATCACAGATCTAAGTATCTCTCTAAGGAAGTTACCAAAAAAAAGTGACAAACCAGAGACAGTGAAAGGATAGAACCAGAAACAAAACACAAAACAAACAAAAAATCAGAAGTCAATAAAATAAAAAATAAAATTATCACTAAAGCCAAACATTTGTTTTATTAAAAAAAAACTAATAAAATTGAGGACCCTCCAACAAGACTGATCAAAAAAAATAAAAGTAAGGAGAGAGAGAGAGGAACACAAATCAAAGTGTATCAGTAAAATTGGGATTATTCCCACATACCCTTCAGATGTAAAGGTGAATTTACTGAGTAAAATTGCTCAGGAAATGTTTCTCTCGTGCACCCTTTTTCAGATTGACATTTTCGGATGTGAACCAGCAAAACATGATCATAAAACAAGAATGGGGAGGACGACGAGCCCAGGAGACTCGGTATCCCGTCTGGGAGAACAGAGCAGGTAATTCCTGGGAGCGCTTGGGGGTGATGCTCAGAAGCCCACCTGCCTGGCCCAGGGCAAGAGGGCAGGCCAGCAGGTGTCTGCCCACACGGACAGAGGGACTCCCCCGTCAGGAAGGGTGACACACTGGCACGGAGGGCAGTGGGGAGCCAAGAGAACAGAAACTCTAGGAAGAGGGAAACATTGTGAAAAAGGAAATTTCATTAAAACCTGTAACCTGGCTCTGCACCGAACCGTATTTGTCTGGTCATGATGTGGACATAAGGAAAACGTCCATCCCTGCAAGGGAGTCATGGGGCCCGGGAGGGAGAAGCAAGGCCGCATCTCTCACAGCAGGAAATGGATTGATAACTCCTATGTAAAGATATAACGATACATAATGTATCACGCCATGATAGAAAGATACAATCCATAAGAAACAGTTAAACACGTTTAAAGTGGGTTCGTGCTAGGGGGTGGACATGGAAGGGGGCCGGACCGAGAACTCTTAGTAACAGGCAGTACTGAAGGACATGAAGAATCTTTGCAACAGAATCCATTTCTTTTTTTTTAAGATGCATTTATTTTATTTTTAGAGAAAGAGAGAGAGGCAGCACGACCAGGAGGGGCAGAGGCAGAGGGAGAGAGAGAGAATCCCAAGCAGATTCCCCGCTGAGCATGGAGCCCCATGCGGGGCTCGATCCCACGACCCTGAGATCATGACCTGAGCCGAAACCAAGAGTCGGGCACTTAACCAGCTGTGCTATGCAGGCACCCCTAGATTCCATTTATGAGCTGTGTGCAAAATAATATAAACAGTGTGATCATTTTTCTGAAAATATATGTACCCACGCTCACATGAGCCCTGCAAATCCATCTGAAAAACTAACCCCGGGCGGTCTGTGATGATGAGGTTATGGGTAGATTTTTTTTTCCTGGCTTCCTTGTATTTCCTAATATTTCTACAATAGACATAAATTGCTTTTGGAACAAGGAAACGGTTACTTTAAAAAAGTTAAGGAATGAAATCAAGAGCCTGACTGGACAAACATTCCCAGAAATTGCTACAAATTACTTTCAAATGCTCCTTTTTGCCCCAGGCTCCAGGTGCTGGTTCTAGGGCAGAGAAATGGATGACCTCGCTAGCAATTTTTTCTTTTTAATTTTATTTTTTTAATGTAATCTCCACACCCAATGTGGGACTCGAACTCACGACCCCGAGATCAAGAGAGGCACACTCTTCCGACAGAGCCCGTCAGGTGCCCCTCGCCAGTGATTTTAAAAGGATGCATGAAGTAAAGTGATCGAATTCTTTACCTACAGAGTTACAAAAAGGAGGTTTGTAAAATATACAGAGGTATGTTTTAATTCCTTGAAAAATGACTTAAAGCAGTGACATTTATTTTTAAATATCATTAACTTGGGGCACCAGGCTGGCTCAGTCAGTTAAGGGACCCGCTCAGATCTTGATCTCAGGGTCGTGAGTTTAAGCCCCACACTGGGCTCCACACTGGGCATGGAGCCTACTTAAGAAATAAAATAAAAAGGAAATAATTTAAGTTCACTAACTTTTCTAAGGCAGTAAATTCATCACACCTGTTTTTTTCAGAAGAAGGAAGTATGGTGTCTCCTGCAATGCCTAGCCCCCTGCCAACCCCCCGCGCTGCAGGCGGCCACCAGCCCCTTCCCTCTGGTGGAACAGAGTGCCAGGAGCCAGAGATGTCCTCTCTTCCCTCAGGGGGACTTCCTTTATTCTTGTTCTGCACTCAGCTGGGCTGGGCTCCCGAGCACACCCCCAGGATGCACCTGTGACAAACCCCAATTTTGCCACCATGCCACTGTTCCTAACACGGCCATCTGGGCCCGGCACGCGGTGGTGGGCAGGGTCTCCAGATCCTGGCACAGAACCCAACTCTCGTGTTTGCTCGCTACCCGGTTGTTTAATATCTAAATGAATTCATGCATTAACTATGGAGGGACAACACAACCATTGGCAGATTGATAAAACCTTCTAACCTGAGCTCCAAATTTTCAATGTACCTGCTTTCAATCAACTATTAACTCAGGAATACTCATTTGTTTCAAAAACTCATTAATTGTTTCAAGTCTCATTAATTCTTTTTTTTTTTTAAGATTTTATTTATTTATTGGAGAGAGAGAGAGTGAGAGAGAGCATGAGAGGGGAAAGGGTCAGAGGGAGAAGCAGACTCCCCACCGAGCAGGGAGCCCGACATGGGACTCGATCCTGGGACTTCAGGATCATGACCTGAGCCAAAGGCAGTCGCTCAACCAACTGAGCCACCCAGGCGCCCTCAAGTCTCACTAATTCTTGCACTCACATCAGAAGCCTTCCTTTTTGACTACGTTCCTTGCTACTCAAGCCCTGACTCCATAAACCAGAAAACTTCAGGTATGAGCAACCTTTGGAGCATTATCTAGTTTTCCAGACAAGCAAACAGAACCAGAGAAGAGCAACCTGTCAGTGTCACCCAGAAACTTGGAGGCAGAAGGAGGAGGACCCCAGCGGTGGGCTATTTGGTAAGTGGACCATGCCACGCCCACCCACGTACACAGACACGCCCACCTAGGTACATGGACACGCCCACATGCACAGATATGCCCACCCACAGACACGGACACACCCACCTAGGTACATGGACACGCCCACATACACAGATATGCCCACCCACAGACACGGACACGCCCACCTAGGTACATGGACACGCCCACATACACAGATATGCCCACCCACAGACACGGACACACCCACCTAGGTACATGGACACGCCCACATACACAGATATGCCCACCCGCTTACCCCCACACACCCCCACCTACTTACCGTAAGTCTGGAGCTTTTCGGTCAGCTTGTCAACATCAATGTGCAGTTGGCTCTCTACAAAGTTTCTTATAAATTTGTTCCTCAGGGCTTCCTAAGGAAAATAACACAGTTTAACAAAAATAATCTCATTTCCTCTTACTGAATAATACTTGTTAGGTTTATTTGAAGTTTCATTTTATAAGAAAAAGACACATAAAGTGAATCATGGTGAAAGAGGTTCTAAAAATCATGGTAAATAACAGGATCACAGTTGATTAGGACTTCACTTTGAAACACAAGAGTAATGATTGTGACAATTTAGATTGTCATTGAAATTATGCACTAACATTGAAAACAAAGAATGAAACAAGTGTTGACTTTTCAGGAGAATTTTCTAACAAAAGTAGAGGGTGATGATTTATAGATCATTTACGGGGCACCTGGCTGGCTCAGTCAGTTAAGCGTGCGACTCTTGATATCAGGGTCCTGAGTTCAACCCCCACATTGGGCATGGAGCCTACTTTAAATAAAATAAAATAAAATAATCCTTAAGATTCTGCCCCTCCCACCTGCTCACACACACATGCACACATGCTCTCTCTCTCTAAAAATAAATAAATACATAAATACATAAATAAATTAGTAAATAATTAAATAGAAAGGTTTTTTAAAAGAGCCTTTCCATTGTGTTTTCCACCGGCCAGTTTTAGAGATGGGGTCACTCTCATAAATCCACCATGGAAGGGTTTCTGCATTTCCCGAACCCACTTTTATTCTGTGGCCATCAAATCTCATCTTTGGAAGAAACCTGCAGATCATGATCTGTGTGATCCCTGTGTGATCCCTCTTTCATATTGAATGGCTCCAACTCTCCCTTGTCAAGGTTTTCACTAAGGAGGGCTCCCCAGGGTGCTTGGAATGAAAGCTTGCCTCCGGATTGACTGCCCCCTGCAACATCCAGCAGCCCACCAAGACTGAGGGGGACATCCTGATGTCATGAGGCCAGAGCCAGGACTAAGCTAGGAGGGGGCTGGCGGAATGGGGACTAGTTCTGGAACCTATCAGTTCACTAGAGAATATTTACACGTGACCCTGACTTTGTGAGCGCACAGCCTTGAAACTTAGAACTTCCGAAAAGGATTTCTCAAACGGCGTCCACCCTCTGCATTCAGCTCTGTGACTCCTCACCTCCGCCTCCCGGATGTGATGATTCTATCGATGCTTGTGTACGGATGACAGGATTTCCTTACGAAACACTGGTGTGCACTTTTATTTTACTGGAATCTTGCGTATCTTTTGCTGGGCATTCACCACGGGCCAGACACTGGCTGGGTACTTTCTGTGTATTGATCATCTACGCTCGGCCACATCTCCATGAGGAGATCACTTGCTTTTCCCTGAGTAGAAATGCAGTCCGGGTCTCGGGCAGCAGTGAAGCACCTGCCCAACTGTCTGGTGGCAAGAGCCAGGCCTGGAATACAGGTCTTCACACTCCCCGATCGTGAGCCCCACGCTGGGAAATGGGGCACCACTCAGCACGCTTTTTCCTTGAAGATGACAAGTGCAGGTGATGGAAGAAGGACTTGCGTTTCTAACATGACTGCCTGGCAGGTGGTACCAGCTCATGGGAGGACCTCTCCTTGGAGCCATGTGGACTGGGGGCAGGGGGGCAGTCAGGTGCTCACACGACTTTGGAGACTCTCCATTTGTTGTTCATGATGTTGCATGTAATTATTCCTAATCACAGCAGAGACTTTCTCAAAGCCTAAGCTATCTCCAATCTGGCCCACTAGAGAAAAAGCCTGCTGATCCCGTAACAAATCAACCCTCAAGCAAACAAGTTCAAGAAGAATATGATGATCGTCCTCATGCTAACACAGTGGGGGCCGCCCTGAGACCCGGCGTCGCAGACCTTCCAACACCAGGACAGGACCGCCAGCTACCGCTGGGCTCTGAAACCACCTGGGTTTAATGCCCAGGGCCACCAGCACCCCGCCAGGCCCACTGTCAGGAGCCACGGGACCCCCGGCACAGGACTCCCCGGGGGAAACTGCAGCTCTGGGACAGTTTGTTCACCCCACTGCCGGGCTAGACTAGGAATCAAAGCCAGCCAGGCTGGCTCCCGAGTCCTTGCAATGAATCGCCTTGAACTACTTGTCTGGTGCATAAAAAAATAGGCCAAACAAGAATAAAAAGGCGGGCGTGATTTCTCATGCTATCAGACTTCAGGGGACTTCCAGTTACACAAATGGCCCCAGGTTATTATGTGGCCTACCTCCTGTAAAGTTCTGAAGTTCATGGCTGTCGGGCTCTGCAGGAATTGGCCATCTTAAAACACAGCCCCCAGGATTTTGGAATATATTAGATGGTCAATACAGAATGTCAGGGAGTGATAACTGCCCCTTTAAACAGACCCACAGTTGAAAAGTACGCAAACCACTCAAAAGAGCATTAAGGTACAGAATTGTGCCTCCATTTATGGAATTTATTTTTTTTAAGATTTTATTTGACAGAGAGAGCACAAACAGGGGGAGGGGCAGTGGGAGAGGGAGAAGCAGATTCCCCACTTAGCAGGGAGCCCGATGCAGGACTCGATCCCAGGACCCTGAGATCACGACCTGAGCCGAAGGCAGATGCTTAACCGACTGAGCCACCCAGGCGTCCCTCCATTTGTGGAATTTAAAGAACAGGCAAATACTATTAAATTATTCATCGTGCTCATAATACTGACATCTGGCACGAACCAAGCCCTTGACCACTCACAAAACTGCCCCACACATTCAACTCTAGGTCAGTATTATTAGTCAGCTGACAGCCACACCCGAGGGGCACCGTGGGGCCCCCTAAGGGGCCGCTCTGATTTCGAGGCACGCCCTCGCAGGTGCCCCCCCAACCCTCGCCCTCGATGTGAAGACAGCCACCACTCACCTGCAGTTGGCTGAGCATCTGGCCACTCCCACTGTTCTGAAAAATGCCAGACGTTTTCAGCAGTGTTTCTGTTAAAGTCTTTAGCTTGTGCACGAAATGGAAAGTGTAATTTGCCTGCAAAACGAAGCATACGTGGGTTTATCTCCAGGTCTGCTACGCCAGATCGGGAGGGTTCTTAGGGGCCGTGCAGGGACGAGAGGGAGAGAAGCCTAATATACACGACTGGCCACCACAGCAAAGAGCCGCCAAAGTCACCGGCAGGCCGCCGACGCCTCCCCAGGCCAGGTGACCGGCTCCAGCGTCCTCGTCTCTGAGGTGAGTCCCAAGACTACTCTCGCAGACTCTCCCTGCAAGTGCCGTCCACCTGTCCACCACGGTGGCCCCAGGACTGAGCTCACTGTGGGGAACAGCAGATGTCCCCAGCACACACCTGCTACATAAAATCATGTTTGCCCACATTTCTTCCTCAAAAATATGCTCTCGGGGAGCGCCTGGGTGGCTCAGTCGTGAAGCATCTGTCTTCGGCTCAGGTCATGATCCCAGGGTCCTGGGATCGAGCCCCGCATCGGGCTCTCTGCTCTGCGGGGAGCCTGCTTCTCTCTCTGCCTCTGCCCCTCCCACCTGCTCATTCTCTCTCTTGCTCACTCTCTCTGTCAAATAAATTAAAATATATATATATTCTCAGGTAATATCCATGCATTTGTTCTACGATACCCAACACTACTGAAGACAGAGGACAACTACCTGTATTTTATCATTTATTGTTGCTAGTGAGCAAATGAGCGCCAGATTTTTGTAAAACAATTTGGTTTCATAAACATATTCCTAGTCCCTGACCCAGGCACACAAAAAAGCCTGTGCCTTTTCTCTAAAGATAAAAGGACTCCATGCTCAGAAATGATTTAAGTGAAATATAAAACGATATCCATGAAAGCGTCCATGGCAACGTTACTGTATTTTTAATCCTAACAATGATCTACGTGCCAAAAAGACAGGGCTGAGTAAGGAGGGTCTGAGAGGCCAACCACACATCCCTGGGGTCACCAGGAGACCCTCCTAATGGCCCAGGTCACGCCAGCGCAGGAGCTGAAAAGCAACCACCACAGAAGAGAGAGGATGCTCCCCGCAGTCGTGGTTTGCTGCCAGCCCAAAGACAGAGCAGGAGGTCCTCCCGGGACACGGCTGGATGCTCTCGAACCGTGGCCCCCCAGCCCGGCCCAGAGCCTCTCCTCCTTCCACTGGGCTGCCGGACGCATGAAGCAGTGCGGAAGGGCTTCTTCCAAATCCACACTCTCCCTCTGCCTTCGCGTGAACCTGGCCCTTTTGCACTCACACCCTTGCCATTGTTCACCCACACTGGCTAAGCACGATCTTCTAGGTCTAGGGATTGCGCCACGATCCTTCTGGTCAAGGGACGAGGCCAACGTACGAATCAAGAGAGAGAAAGGTCTTCATCTGAACCCATTTCATGAAAGAGAGGAGAAAATGTAGACAATCTCTGCCTGGTATTTTCACGACGAGCCAAGGAGGGTCGAGAAGGGGGTGATCAGAGGGAGCAATCTGGGCTGAAGACTGGCCTCCAGGCCACTGATCCCAGAACAAGCAGGCAGCAGACGGGCAGCGTTCCGGAAATGGCAACAGGACAAATCTCCGCACAGAACCAACTGGTGACGCCGTCCTGGCCCCCAGAGGACAGCCACGAGACCCAGGGAAAACCAATCTAGGAAAGACGCGGGAGAGCCAAGCCAAGGAGGATTCCAATCCCAAGGAGGATTCCAGGGAAGGGGCCAGAGCGGAGTCACGAATCACAGAAGGAAGAAAACTCACTATTGCTCACAAACATCCCTGAGTCTGTACATTTCAGAGCCTTTCTTAGAACAGGCAAAATTATTAAAAGCAGACTAATGTCTAACATACCTCATAAAATCTGGAATTCCAATTGAAATTGGAATACACACCCAAGAGTTCACAAGAAGCTTAAGAAGGAAAAAAAAAATTAATGTAATTTCAGATAACTTCTCTGCAAAATTAAAGGTCAGTGGACGGTGAAGAGCAATCTATAGCTCTGAGAGGCAAATAGTATAAACCACGAATTCCTATGTGCAGATCATATTCAGATACCCAAGCAGAAAGAACGCAGGCTACCTGAGAGCACTCCTAAAAAATTTCCTGGAACCCAACCTGAGTAAGAGTTAACTCAGTATAAGAATACGATACATCTCTGATATGATCCAGATGGTGCTGAGTCACGAAACCATTCAAATAGAGAATTGATTTTAAAGTTTATTTATTTTAAGTCATCTCCGCACCCAATGTGGGGCTCGAACTTATGACCCCGAGATCAAGAGTCACACGCTCCACTGACGGGGCCAGCCAGGTGGCCCAAGATTTGATTTTTAAATAGTAGCTAACAAAGTCTTAAGTGTAATCCAGATGCCCATGGTAATTCTTGAAAATAACTGTGAAAATTATAAAGTTATAGTAGGAAGGTTATAATTGAAATTAGAAGCCCCAGTGGCTGATGATTATAACACCAGTTAATGAGATAGTAATCTATAGAACTGTAGACTCCATCGGCGATAGAGGGGGCGAGGGGCGGGCAGGGAGGCAGGCAGGCAGGCAAATGGGAGCTCCCACCTCAGTGAGAAAGAAGGACTCTCATCATTAACTGTAAGAGGGTAAGCTCAACATTGAAACACAGAAGGGAGGGCGCCTGGCGTGAAGCATGCGACTCTTGACCTCGGCGTCGTAGGTCCGAGCCCCACGTTGGGTATAGAGATGACTTAAAAATAAAATCTTCTTATTTTTTAAAGATTTATTTATTTGAGAGAGAGAGAGAGAGAGCACAAGCAGGGGGAGCAGGAGAGGGAGAAGCAGGCTCCCCACTGAGCAAGGAGCCTGATGCAGGGACTCGATCCCAGGACCCTGGAATCACGACCTGAGCCGAAGGCAGACGCTTAACCGACTGAGCCCACCCAGGTGTCCCTAAAAATAAAATCTTCAAAAAAAAAAAAGAGAGAGAGAGAGAAAAACAGCAAAAAAGGAAAAAAGATAACCACAAGGACAAACGTAAATTTTAAAACTGTAACAGAGAATGACAATAAGAACTCTAAACTTGCCACTCGCAACAATAACTTTGAATAGGTCCAAACATCCAATTCAAAGGATTTCGGACCCAGTTAGTTAAGTTATTCAGTAAGTATCTATATTTATTTTTTTTAAGATTTTATTTATTTTTATTTATTTATTTGACACAGAGAGAGAGACAGCTAGAGAGGGAACACAAGCAGGGGGAGTGGGAGAGGGAGAAGCAGGCTCCCGGCTGAGCAGGGAGCCCGATGCGGGGCTCGATCCCAGGACCCTGGGATCATGACCTCAGCCGAAGGCAGCCGCTTAACAACTGAGCCACCCAGGTGCCCCAGTATCTATATTTATTGAGTGTCTGTAAGCCATGTCCAGGTGTAGGTGCTAAAAATGTAGCTATGAACAAAATAAACGCTTTTCTTTTTTTTTATTTTAAAGATTCATTTATTTATTTGAGAAAGAGAGAGAGAGCACGTGTACAGAGGGGAAGGTGCAGAAGAACAGAGAATCTCAAACAGAGCACAGAGCCTGACACAGGGCTCAATCCCATGACCTGAGATCAAGACTTGAGCAGAATCCAAGAGTCGGATGCTCAACCGACTGAGCCACCCAGGCACCCCAAAAGCTCTTTTCCAATTTAAGATTATGATCTATTGCACAGACAACTCTATGAAAGGCCAGCTGTATTTTTACATTGGACTAAAAACAAAAGATTTAAATATCAAGCAAAACCAAAAAAGCTAGAAATGGTAACAGCCACCAAAATAAAATTCGTGACAAAAAGAACATGATTTATTCTGGAAAAAAAATTTATGATTTACCATGATTAAAATTTACGGACTCGGCAACATATCATCAAAATATATGAAGTCAAAAGGACTAGAAATAATGAAGGAATTTGATAAGATTGAACAGTTGGAGACGTTAAGCCTTCGTAAGACCAGGCGGAGAGTACTTGAAAAATCAGGTCGTGAAAACCGCCGTGTTTTGGGTTAAAACCTTGGCTTTGCCTCTTATCTGCTGCATGGTCTTACCCAAATTATTTAAACTGTCAGCTTCAAGCTTCGAGAAAAGTGGGGGTGGCTGTGGTGATGTTAAGATAAATGAATATTCTGATGTCTCGAGGCCAGGCCTGGCCCCTAGTAGATGCTCAGTAAACACCACCCACGCAGTCCGACTGCATGCACGTTTGCAGACCATGGGTGGTATTACTGATGCAGCCAAAGGAGAAGATCTAAAAATCTTAAATCGACAAATACAGAACACACACACACACCCCAAATACATATGTATATTTACATATGTAATGTGTTTTATATATTTATAAACATATATCTCTTTTTGTATAGCCAGTTATTGCAATTTAAATTAATTCAAATATCCTAATTTATCTTATATATGCATACAGACCCTCATTTTTCAAGAAAATTTTACTGAAACGAATACGCAGTAAAATCCCAAATTATAGAAATCATTTAGGTGTGTATTATGAAATTAGAATTTGTTAGCCAAGGTTGGTGTGAACACTGTTTAAATTTTTTATTTTACTTTTTAAAGATTTTATTTATTTATTTGAGAGAGAGAGAGAGCGCACGAGCAGGGGGAGGGGCAGAAGTAGAGGGAGAAGCAGACTCCCCGCTGAGCAGGGAGCCCGACGCGGGACTCGATCCCAGGACCCTGAGATCATGACCTGACCGGAAGGCAGACACTTAACCAACTGAGCCACCCAGGTGCCCCAGCAAGTTAAAAAATTTTAAATATCACAAATAACTCCTGAGTTATAGGACATTATTTAGGAAATGTTCATCTAGGAAATAATGCAGACATTAGCTATAACAACATACTGGATAGAACCAAAATTCAGACTCAAATACATTCGTTATTAATTAAAAAGTGAAAATTAGTCAACATAGCACAATAATACAACAAATCTGAGGAAAGCAGAAAGAGATTGATAAAAATAAATTGTGAAAAGAAATTACTTCAGGGGCACCCGGCTGGCTCAGTCTGACAAGCATGTGACTCTTGAT